CAAGAGGTGTTCTAGGATCCGAAGGCCTGGGTCTGGATGGTGAGGAATTGGGAAAGCATACTGAACGGGCCTCATCTGTAGGACTAAGTTATGGGCCCCATCGGAATTGGGCCTAAGCATTCAGCTTTGTTGAAGGTATCTTCGTTTTTGGGCCTACTTGGGTTGAGGACTTTTTTTGGCCCTAACACCATACATATTCATAGTTGGATTCATTACATTAGATTAAAATGATATTTTACAACTCGGATCTAGTTATGTATATATATGGTCCTGATAAATTTATATCAAGACTTCTTAACTAGAGAATTATTATACTTCCTTCATTTCTATATAACTGACGTTTTAAGCCTCTACACAGTTTTTAATGAATCAATTTAATCTCTCTTTAAATTGACTTTTTCCTCTTATATTGCAGGTGGGAAAAATTTGTTCACACGTGTGTGAAATATTGAAAGAGAGAGAGGAGATGTGGGCCATAGAAAAAAGTAAAGAGAGGAGATGAGGGGAGAGTAGAGAAGGAGATGTGGGAGATGGAAAAGATAGATAAAGAGAGAGAGAAGAGATGTGGGCCATAGAAAAAAGTGGAGAGACGAGACGAGGGGCAAAGTAGAGAATGGAGATGTGGGTTAGAGAAACATTAAAAGAGAAAAGACAACGTCATTTATTTTGAAAAAAGTTAATACCCTCAGAACGAGATTTATAAAAAAATAGAGGGAGTATATGGTTGTCAGTATTTCGTTAGAATTTTTATTTCATATGCTTAAATTCTAAACAATACAAAGGAGTAATTTATACCAAACCCATAATAATATATACACACATACCGAATTTTGGCAATACATAACATAAAGAAATGGAGAAGAATAAAGGTAAATACATGATCTTCCTTCCAAGGAAAACCCTACTGTTCAGCGTGACCCTTTTAGTAGCGATAGCCAACTTTTTATTCTTTATACGTGTTTAAGTCAATCTCTATAATTAATTAATTAATTGCTGTATATTAATTAATTAATTAATTAGTAGTATGTAAAAAGCTGAAACCAAGAAAAGTAGAAAATTATATAGTGGCATTGGCATATGCTGCTGTCAAACTTAATCATGCCCATTAATTAATTAAATATTATAATCACACATTCACACTAATTAAGACATGGTTGCCAGTTCATTCTTTCAATTAATACAATATAATTAATAATATATATCCTCAAATTGGTTTCATATCTCTAGCTAATAGTGGAGAAAAAGCTGTTTCATTAATCATTATTTATTCTTTCTTACAAATCAATTTAATTGCGTAAAGGGTAGGGTAGGTTAGATGTGCAAAAAGTAAACTACATGTTCCCACCTAAATATCAGCGAAATGGCAACTTTTCATATTTAAGTTATTTCATATTTTCGCCCTTAAATTAGGATAAAATTATTTAATATAACAGTAAAAGATTAAAGTGGTCATTTGTATTATATTAAATTTAAAATAAAAATAAAAATTTCAAAATTACTCTCTATATTTCAAATTTCTTTTACAAGCACCCTTAAGAATGAAGATTTACTATTGTAGGCACACATTAGTAAAAGGCAATGCACGTTAGCAAGTGTCACCACCTTCGTTCCCAGCCATTTTCTAGCCAATTCTGACATCTAAAATCACTTCTAAGACCACCTATTGAACCCTCACCACCTTCTCTTCAAAACTCATATCTTCTTTTGTCGTCATTACTCTCTATTTCGTCGAAATTTGCGTCTTTTTTTTCTTCACACAATTGCCACTTCCAAGCCAAATTTTGGCCACCTCTGATCTCCAAAATTCGACCTACCACCACCAAAAGACTCATCAACCTCTCTACTTCCAGAGCCCTAACAACTCAAACCGAGGTTGCTCACTGTTCGCTGCTAGCCAACCTTAGGGTTTCTTTGAGTTTAGGTTTCAATTGGAGTAGTTTGGGAGTTGATTTGGTTGTCTTTTTGGAGTGATTGGTTGTTTTGGTTGTCTTTTTGGAGAACAGAGAAAGAGGTGGAGAAGATCCCGGAAGTCAAATCTGGCTATTAAAGAAGAGGAAGGTTGAAGAAGATGGTATTATTGAAATAAATTTGAAAATAAGATGATTATTTTTCTAATTCTACTAATTTATGGGTTAAAAAGTAATTTATTAATTTATTTGTTAAGGGCAGTTTGATAATAACACTTTCTATAATGTGTCAGACATAAAAAAATTATTAACAGTGTTAATTTAACGGTAAGAATATAGAATAAATGAAACTAAAGATGAAAACTTGTTATTTTATTAATCTTTAAATGGGAACATGTCGTTTACTTAAAAAAAAGTAAATTTAGATAACAGTATAATTTATGAGCTACCCAATAATTAAAAATTATATAATACTAATTATTGACGTGATACTACAAATTAATACATACATATCAGATAGTTACAATCAGACTCTTATTCACTAACCAAGTGACTTAATATATAGTTAAAAAAGTTATGAATAAGAGCAATTAGAGGCATCAAAATTTGAACATAATGGGAGAGGGAGAGGGAGGGGGAGAGGGAGAGGGAGCGGGAGCGGGGGTCCAAAGGGGACAAGAAAATGAATGTTCCCTTTGACTGGCTCCTTGAAAGTTGGCCAAGAATACAAGATGTTTTGTCTTTAATTTGTATAAGAAGAAGAAGGGTCACGGGGTGTTGTCTATTTTGATTTCTACTTACATCAAATATATTCAACCTTGTTTTGGTACAAATCATGAAACGCCCTAAACCAATATATTATAATCATCAATTTGTTCACCAATTACCATAATAAATGCTCCAACCTTCTTCGCATAATATGTCGTCACCCTTATTTTGGTCGGAATATTACAAAACATATGTTTTTTATATATAAACCTTTATGGACCACGTTAATTTTATTTTTATAAAAAAAAATTATAATTTAATAGAAGTGTTGTTAAAAAAATTTATTATTTTGACTTAGAACCTATTTGACTGAGTTTATGAAAATTAGTTTATAAACAGTTAGTAATTATAAGTTAATTTGAGGTTATAAGCATTTAAAATTTAAGCAGTTACGTGTTTGGTTAAAGTACTTATAAGTGACTGATAAGAAGTTGAAACGTTTGGCAAAATGTGGCTTATAAGTATATTTTATTATTAAAATAACTAAAAATGGTACTACGTTATTAAAAATAAGGGTATATGATAGAATTTCAAAATAAAAAGGGGATAATGTGATAATATATTTGGTTAAAGTAACTTATAAGCCAAAAAAAAAAAAAAAAAAAAAATTATCTTTCCTCTATCTTTTTTTTTATTTTTAGCTTATAAGTTTAAAAAAATTATAAACAAACAAGTCAGCTTAATTTTAAAGTTTATAAGCTAGTTTGACCAGTTTATAAGCTTAAACAAGAACCCCCTATTTATCCTTAAGTACAAGTGGTATAGAGGTAAAATATGGAATGCATTAATAATTAATAAATGAAGCATATGAAATCTAAGGTATAGACATTGATAAAAGAAAATAGACACAGTTTCAAAAAACTAGTATATATATTTTTTATAATATACAAATAATTATTACTATATGAAAACAAGTTTTTTAAAACGGAAACTAGAAAAATTATAATTTATTACAATGCAGAGTTTATTCTTACTTATAACTAGTCTAAGTTGGGACTACAATTTTTTATGACTTTATAGAGGTTATTTTCATATAGGGTATCACTATACAAATATTTTATTGTATAAAGTGCATAAAATAAATAAATATTTTGTTTATGAATTATCTAAACGTATGCACTTAAACATAAATTCAGACAACTATTTGTTATTAAATTAAATTTTAAAGGTCAATGTATCAAAGGTAATACTACACTTACAACTTAATCTCATAAACTTTTTCTTATAATCCTGACGAGACAGCTTATAATTGATCAGTTCGTAAATGGATCTTGTCTGCTCGTTATGGGTCTTGTCTACCTATTTACGAATTTACCAATTATGAGTTGTCACATCGAGATTATAAGAGAAAATTTATAAGATTAGATTGTGAGCTAATCTTTATCCATGTATTAACTCAAATTGAAAGGCTTAAAAATAAGATTACAATGAACATCAATTCATCCTAAAATCTAAAAAAGTAAATTCAATTATAAAATAAATTCAAATCTTTTATGGAGAACAATGTTTAAACAAAAGTATTCTAATTTTTTTTTTTTTTTTTTTTTTAATCCATTCTTCTTCTTCTTCGATCCATGGGTAAAATAGTTTTCAAAAGGGGTAAAAGAGTAAATTGGTTAAAAAATAATACATAATAGAATGGAAGAAGGATGGGCAGACAGAATCTCTGTCAGGTCAACTGTTGTCTTGACTTGGCTGCTGGTCCCACCTACACATACAGACAAAAATACTTTCTACATCCACGTGTCACGATCTCTACCGTCCGTTCATTCTAACGGTTAACTGGGGTGTTAGATTGGAGCTTTAGGCCCTACTCTTGGTGGCGGACCTTCTCACAAAAGGCCACCCTAAACTAAAGTAACCTAAAATTAACCACTTTTGTTTTTTATTTATTATAATTTATTTTGTCATTTACTTTTTATTATGCCTAATTGTTGAAATTTCAATGTTTTATTTTTATATAAATCATTAAATACCGTGATTAATACAAATATTAATTATTCATTAAACATCAATTTTGAATTCATTCAATTCCATGGAAATATGAAAGTTACCCTCAAAAAAAAAATAACTTTAAAATATATTATAAATTTAGAATAATTAAATAATTTATTTTATTTTAAAATAGGATAATTTTTTTTAAACAAAAAGAAGAAAAAATATCGAGTGCTTTGGTGTGAGACCCGCATGAGGATCTTGAGCAGAGACTTCAGTTTCTTTCTGGTCTCTGTTGTCTGTTTGCATTGGACAGAGCACTCTTTCGCTTTCTCTATTTATCTCTCTTTTCTCTTTGATTTTTATTTTTATTTTTTAATTTTTTGAGTTTTGAACAAGTGAAATTTTAATTAAAAGAGACTGTTTGTTTTCTTTGTGTCATTTCAACAAGTTCCATAAAGTGATCAAAGTTTTCTTTCACATCTTTTTATTCAAACTATGGGATAATTTATTTGGGATTCCTCAGCTCTAACTTCACTAAGCTTTTCTTAATTTTTGTCTTCTTGTCATATGTTATTTTTCCTCTTCACTTTACTTAGAATGATTTTCCCATAACAAGAGAAAAAAATTGGTTAATTTTCATTTGGGTACTTGTCTTTTACTTTTGATGATTTCAATATGATATCATCATCACATTCAGCTTTTGTTTGAAAAGATTTTGAATTCCCATCTCAGTTTTTCTTGTTTGCAAAATGGGTTTGGGTTAGTTTCTTTAATGAAGATAGTTTTGGCTCTCTTTTTCATGTTTGTCTCATCTTGGTCTTAAAGTGTTTGTTTTTATGATGGTTTTCCTTGGGGTTTGATTTTTAGTGTTTGTTGAACATGGAGGAGGTTGAAGAAGCAAACAAGGCAGCTGTTGAGAGCTGCTACAGAGTTCTTGGTTTGTTGTCTAAACAAAAAGATCATCATCAAGTTCAGTACAGGAACTTGGCAGGTGAAACTGATGAAGCTGTGTTTAGATTTAAAAGAGTTGTGTCTCTTTTAAGCTCAAGTTTTGGTCATGGAAGAGTCAGAAAGTCGAGGAAGAAACTTTCATCGTCTTTGCCTCAAAATATTTTCTTAGACAGTCCTAATTACACACCAGTTTATTCACCAAAACCTCTCCAAATAATCCCAGCTGATCCTATGCAGTTGCCGCAAAACTCATCTCCAAAGTTCCGTCTCCAACCAATACCATCACCACACTTTCAGTTTATGCATCATCAGCAACAGATGCAAAGGTTGAGGTTTCAACAGCAACAGCAGAAATATCAAGCCGATATGAATATGATGTACTCTAGCAGGAGTACAAACAGTGGCATGAACCTCAAATTTGATGGCTCTAGTTGCACACCGACCATGTCCTCAACAAAGTCACTAATATCATCTTTGAGCTTGGATGGAAGTGTGGCTAACTTTGATGGGAATTCTTTTCAATTGATTGGTGTGCCACAGCATTCAAGTCAGATCTCTCAACAGTCCAAAAGGACTAGGTGTTCTGTTAGGGGAGAAGATGGGAGTATGAAATGTAGTACTGTTGGTAAATGTCATTGCTCAAAGAGGAGGTTAGATTTTAATTTTTTTTTTTTTTTTTTTTCCTTATTTGTGCTGTAATTTCAGTGTTGTTTGTTGTGTTTGAGTTGAGACTATTAACTTGTTTTGTGTGTTTTTACAGGAAACACAGGATAAAGAGGTCAATCAAGGTGCCTGCCATCAGTAACAAGGTTGCAGATATTCCTCCTGATGAGTATTCATGGAGGAAATATGGACAGAAACCTATTAAGGGATCTCCACATCCTAGGTAGAGAAGATCTTCTTTTGGCTTATGTTTTTGTTTACTTGTCCAAATCAGGATTCCGTAGGCTGAAGAAACTTTACAAGTCCAAATTAACTATTTAGTGTCAGTGTCCAATATATGAAAGAATTAGAAATAGTGTTTTTTTTTTTTTTTTTTCAATTGATGACAAGCGTCCAATTTATAGCAAGTGGTTTTAGATCATGTCTAGATTCCCATAACAAGTCTTGCATTTCAAGTCCCTAAAGGAGAAGGGTAGGTAGGATGAGACATTAGAGTAAACATAGAATGCTATATTTAATGAATCTTAAACTTAATAAGAATGGATAACATCTACTAGTAACAATATTGCCACCAATTTTGACATATTGACCCAAATGAAAAACCGAAAAACACACACAAGATAACAAACAATTTTTTTCCACTCTGGGATGTTCAGGCCCATGTTGTGCTTTGTGTTCAAGAGTGTACTGAGCCTTGGACAAAGTAAATCATGCCAGTATAGGCTCAACTGAGGCCCAGATTGAGCCCTGCTTCTTTAGATTGAACTATGAACAAGTCAAGCACTAGAGGATACTCATTCTTATTCATCTTCTAATAAATTATAAGAAGTGTAACATCACTACTGTCTTATTGACTCATATATGTTGTCTATTTGTGTATTAATTAATGTATGTGATACTTGTAATATGAAATTTTAGCACATAACTTACTAATAAGCTTTTAAAATGCAGGGGATACTACAAATGTAGCAGTATGAGAGGGTGCCCAGCAAGGAAGCATGTCGAGAGATGCCCTGATGACCCTTCGATGCTAATTGTAACCTATGAAGGCGAGCACAGCCATTCCAGGTTACAGTCATCGCAATCCGCCCATACATGAAGCTGTACCGCCAACATCGCCAGCTTACAACTATCCAAACCAACCAAAATTAGTTAATCTGTAATTGTGAATTTCTGGTGTATATAATTTGTAGTTCAAGTTGTGACTACAAATGCTGGAGCTAATTACTAGTACTTCTCTATTTGCTTTTTGGCTTTCTGTGTCTCTGCAAGTGGAGCCACAGAAGAAACAAGGCTAAAAGGCTCTTATATATGTTAGGGGTTGGCTGTAAAAGCTTAATTATGTTGCTCTTGTTTGCAAGTTTTTTGTTTTAACTCCATAGGTTTTTTTGAGTGAATTTCAGTTTTATAATGCATGTTTTATATAGTTTCTTCTTTCTTCTTTCTTCTTCTTCTTCTTCTTTATTTTTTATTTTTAATAATATCATTTGAGTTGGTCAGATACAGCTTCTTCAAATAGAGCTTATAGAAGCAACGCCTATTAGAGTAGAACGCTTATTTGGTTTATTCTTATATTATAGATATAAAGCATATTCAAGTCAAGGTTTTAAAACCGAGCTTGGGGTGAGACCCAGCAAAGTGGCTAGGTTCGGGTTGACCGGTTGAACCAGTTTGACCAGCAGGTCAAATCGATGACGTCAGCATATAAAAAGATTTAAAATTCAGCAAATATACCCTTGAAAATTATTATAAGTTTTTACAGGTTTGAAATCTTGCAAAAATACCCCAAATTATATTGTCAGTGTTGACAACCGAAGCCAAATAGGGCATATTCTGGTGTCAAAAACACACCCCATCACCACGAAAAGTCTGCCCTTAGCTTCTTGACCAAAACCCATCTCACCCCACCCTAGTTTGCCTCACTAATCAGGTTGTTGCCACCAATTTATTTTTGCAATTTTCGGTCATTTTACTTACCGAAAATCACATCTGTCGTCACCTTTCCACTCACCGACCCTTCTTCTTCAAAAGCCCCAACATCCCAACCACTAATTGTTCGTCGATCATTGTCTTAATTTCTAGGGTTTGCCATGAACAGTGAAATTGGTAACTCGACCTAGTGAAGGCGGTTGAACCGCTCAAGCCAGGTGAGGGTTCAAAACACTGATTCAAGTTACTCTACAGAAACATTTTTTTTTTCAAGAATGTTTTTCAAAAAAAAATAAATTCAAAAACACATTTAATACCCTTTAAGTGAAGCTAACAAATGCTAAAACATCCTAAAATATAGCATTACAACTTAAATTAGAACTCAAATCAACAACCGACCGTTTAAATGGTTGCCCTTAATTTTTATTCTCCGCAATGCCGATGTGATCACATTTACATAAACCCTTTTCATGGATGGTCTCCCCAGCCGCTTACGTAATTCTTCACTCCTGTTTTTGTAATTATTGAAGCAATCACTAATCTGTTTTACAAAACAAAAAACAAAATCAGAAGCAAACCTTGTCATGATAAACACTAGAATTAAATCCAAACATGTACAAAAAATGAAAAAGAGGCATAAGAAACAGAAAGTCCAGTACGAATCTATTTGTGATAGTTAATTTGGCAACACTAAAAAAGTTTTAATATAAAATTAGTATCAATCTCAACTTTGTAAATGTACCATTACACTACGAGAATTACATGATACTACTAGATAAAGAAGAGTTAGAAAAGTACTATTAAGATTTAAGATTACAGAGTTGGGGGAAATAGGTAGGACTACATGAAACAGTACATGCTAAGCCACAGTCTGTTGAGCCTAAGCAATGAAGAAAAGTTTCACATTCTTGTCTACAGTTGACAAGCCCCTCAAGATTAGCATCAGCCCTTTCATCGCCCTCTTTTCTCCCTCTTTCATCACTCCCTTTGTCCAAATTACACCAACCAAAACTAAAAGAACCCAATAACCTAACACCCTATATCTTTTCATGTTTGTGATCTCTACATCTCTCTCTTCTTGTTCTCGCTCTAACTCTTCCTTTCTCTCTTTCTTCTAATTTGTATTTATAAGGTCATTAATTAGCATGCCATTGAAGACTGTGCATTCTGCAATTAAGAGAAAGAACACTTTTGTATGTATGAACTATGAAGAAGAGTAATGCTACTTATATAAAGTTGGGATCTCTAATGATGTGTTAACATTACATTAGCAATAATACTACATATACAAAGATAGGTATACAAAGTAATGTGGTAAAATATGAATAGAAGAGTGAATATAATGAGTTTTGACTATTTATTCACACTTTCATTTATTTTCTGACACATCCCTTTGTATATAAATTTTTGTTAGATGATTTTGTATAAGTAGTAGGACTCTCACATTAACTACATGTAAAAATTTCCGGAAGAGTAAAGAATATTATGTTCTGTAATATATTACAAAAAAAAAAAAAAATTGTTCTACAGCAGTTTTAAGGTTTTATATTTAAGAATTTATCTCTATAAACAAGTCATTGTATCTTAAATGCTAGATCATCATGTTTCTATATCTATTTTACACCATGAAAATATGAAATTTATCTTGAAGAAAAGTGCTTTTTAGCTCTATTACATGTGTGAAATCGACAAAATAAAATTCAAATGTACCCATAAATTTCAAATATTTCCAACATGTGTTCGGAAAAGGAATTTAAAAAATGAAAAGGGGAAGTGGGATGTGATGATTTCAAGATTCAAGAATGTCTGTGACAGTTGTTTGTAAATATAACCTGAGAATGTTTTATAACTTTTTTAAGTTTTGACAATTTCATATGGTTTCATATGTGCTTCTAGTGGACGAAGCTCCACCTAATAAACCTGATTAGATAAGAAGTTTGAAGATGTTAATAGACCAGTAATAAGTTCCATTAATGGAAGCAACAAAACTTACATTGTCCATCCAATGCTGCTGCATAAGACAGAGTTTTCTCTTAAACTTTGTGCCGGGAAAGAACACCTTAAATTTGCATGCATCTGCTTATTGGCTTGGTATTCAACATTACAGGGGAACCTGCAGGGGTTCAGATGTTAGAATTTTTCTTTTTGACAAAAATTTCTCTTGTCACCTGTTGCTGAGAATGATAGCCGACCGTGAAGCTTAGCTGCCCAACAATCCCCTTAAACTGCATTTGTCATTTGGTTACATAATTGATGATGTTGCAGAATGAAGAACATTATCTTGCTTACAGACAATTCCAAGAACTACCCTTGCACAAAAATTCTTCCACCTAATAACCCTAGCAAACAAACAAAGAGAACAACCATGGAAATCATGCAAGCATATGAAAGAAAGAGCAAGCAGTGGATATACAGAGTATACCTAGCAGAAATCTAGAAATTTTCATACTTTGTTGTCAAAAATGGTAGGTTGATATGTTTGAAACTTCTACTTTTCCATTGACTCCAAACCTGGGAATTGTCCGATATCATATCCTTCAAGGGGCCGAAACTCATTGTGTAAACCAACAGCAAACTCCTCAGGACAAACTCTGCCACTTTGTAAATAATCTACGATCTGAATTGAAAACCCCAGTAAATTATTTTATACACAAGCAATCAAGATTCCATGTTTATATTTCAAACATGATTAAAGCCAGCATCATAGATTTACCATATAAGTCTCCATATGTACATCCTATATAAAAAGAGTTGAATTATAGATTTATAAATGAATAACAAAATACATATCTATGCACAAAGAAGACCTCAAGAAGACAAAAAGAGAATTATATTTGAGCTTACATTATCGGCAAGAGCCATGCCACTTAAGGCTGCATACTCTAAACTTGAACCCAGAAACCAATCACCGCAGAAACCAGCCCTTCCATGAGGGTCAAAGATACATGGGATACCTGGAGTGTTAGTCAAAAGGGCTGCACCCCTACACAGCTCAAAGTAGAGAAATCAATCAAATGATTGCAGAATAGAAAGCATAAACTATTCAAAGAAAAAAAAGCACTTAAAAGGAAAAAGTGTATGTTTAGTTAAACCACAGCATATTTGGTGAAGAGCAAGTTGATGAAAAAGCCGCATGTTGTGATGAAACAGAGTCCAATAAGTATCATTTTCTAGGTTTACATCTTGTGTCTACACGATCCAAGGATAGATCTATGTCTAACATTTAATAACCATATTTATTCATTTTTCCTATAATAAATAAAAAGCCTAAGCGATATATCTCAAACTTTTTAAGAATCCAAATGGAAATTCCGGTAAATTCTAGCCCACATGTAGAGCTCCTTAACTTTTCAATATCCCCATAGTGAATAATAGAAACACCATGCTCTTTGTTTCCATTCTACATCATTGGAGGAAGTATTAACATCTAGGCCCTATGAGACCTTTGTGCTCAAATGTGTCTTGAGCCTTTTAAGAGTTGCTAAAGATCAGAAATTGAACATACTAATGCACTTATTAAAGGCATGTCAAAAAGAGACAGTGTTTTACCATAATTGACTCGAGTGTAAAAGGGCTTCTGAAGCGAACACTTTTGTAGTCCGAGTGCAGCTTCAACACCTTCAAGCATATCTGTCTTCACCTTCTCTGCTGTGGCAGTCGGGATGTTTTCCTAATAACATGATTAGAACAATTTCAATATCTTTGCAGAAAACCTTATTGCAATCGTAACTAAAGTCATCTTTATTACACCAAAAGGATGTCCTTAAACTGCAACATCATATTACATTGGCATCAAATTTAAATGAATGTGCACATAAAATTGAATTCATTGTCTTATTTAAATAGTTTGGAGTCATCCAAGGAAAATCCTCTCCTAGTTTTCAATCTAATGCCATTATTCCAATGCGTGAGAGAAAACATGGAGCTTCAGTATTCACATATATTGAATTCAACTATGGGTTAAACCAATCAGCAAATACTGTGTGATAATTGCACATAACCATGTGTAAACATGTAAGTAAACTCTGGAACCTTGTTTTGCTTTCCAAAAGCTGCAGTCCTGAAAAAGGTCCAACATTGAGGACCATTAGCTCAAGAACCCAAAAGTTTCATTGAGAGAATTAACTCCTTTAACAAGGGCTCCTTGTGAACTCCCCACCTATTGGAAGGGGGTCCTCAAAGGCTGCGAGGAGAACCCATATGGAATTCAGTTTCAGCCTCTACAAACAAGGATGATGGAAGCATGAACAAAAACATTTTAGGCTGGACCTAAAGGACTAAATATAAAGCATAGTCTAGATTACAGTAAACAACTTAATATTTCATGGATTACCTTCACTTGTCAAGCACTGAGAGGTATGCCTGATGAACCAAGCAAGCAGTTCGCACATTTTCCTATCAGTACATGGAGGAATTATTGCTATCAGAAAAAGCCAAAAAGTAAACACACACACACGCAAAGAAGATTAGAAGTTGTATAATTAAGTAATGAAACAAAAAGGGTACTTGCACCACCTGGTCTTCCAGATCCAGATACCTACTCTTAATTACTAAAATTTATACAGAAATCTTCAACTCTTGAATAACACCAAAATCTTACAGATTCAAGATATGATTTTTTTTTTCCCAAAATGAAGCAAATTGTAACATTTAAGTCAATATAACAAATAAAAAAAAGAACATATTCTTAACACAAAACAGAAATACAATAACATTAAACTAAATTCATTTGTAAAAGCGAGGGCAGCACTAAATCACCATGATGAGCGATAATAGTTATATCAAACTACCCACGAAGTTTTCCTTTCTCACTCAAGTACCACATCCCATTAGAAGGCTCAAGTTTACTTATCCAGCAAGGTCTCACAATGTTAACCAAAGATGTCCGCAACAGGTATCAAGAAATTTTCAGACATGACAGGAAGAACAAAGGAGTTTGACTTACCTAATACAAAATTAACGGCATACTATTATAAGATGTAGCATAAACCTTAATCCTTAATCGAACCGGTAATATTACAGGTAGGCCAGCGTTAGAAAAGATCAGTTACCTGAACCAATAATGAGTCGCAAGACGGTGCATCCCATTAGCAGCAATATATCTTGGAGGGGAAGAAGGAAATGGAACAAATCACCCACCCACTTCAAGCTCTCCGATCATGCCTTCCTACTGCCGCACCAGACCTCTCTCCAATTCACCAAACCAAGAATCAGTTACAGTAAAGAACTGAGCAGCATGATCAAATATCAANAAACCACAGCATATTTGGTGAAGAGCAAGTTGATGAAAAAGCCGCATGTTGTGATGAAACAGAGTCCAATAAGTATCATTTTCTAGGTTTACATCTTGTGTCTACACGATCCAAGGATAGATCTATGTCTAACATTTAATAACCATATTTATTCATTTTTCCTATAATAAATAAAAAGCCTAGCCGATATATCTCAAACTTTTTAAGAATCCAAATGGAAATTCCGGTAAATTCTAGCCCACAGGTAGAGCTCCTTAACTTTTCAATATCCCCATAGTGAATAATAGAAACACCATGTTCTTTGTTTCCATTCTACATCATTGGAGGAAGTATTAACATCTAGGCCCTATGAGACCTTTGTGCTCACATGTGTCTTGAGCCTTTTAAGAGTTGCTAAAGATCAGAAATTGAACATACTAATGCACTTATTAAAGGCATGTCAAAAAGAGGCAGTGTTTTACCATAATTGACTTGAGTGTAAAAGGGCTTCTAAAGCGAACACTTTTGTAGTCCGAGTGCAGCTTCAACACCTTCAAGCATATCTGTCTTCACCTTCTCTGCTGTGGCAGTCGGCATGTTTTCCTAATAACATGATTAGAACAATTTCAATATCTTTGCAGAAAACCTTATTGCAATCGTAACTAAAGTCATCTTTATTACACCAAAAGGATGTCCTTAAACTACAACATCATATTACATTGGCATCAAATTTAAATGAATGTGCACATAAAATTTAATTCATTGTCTTATTTAAATAGTTTGGAGTCATCCAAGGAAAATCCTCTCCTAGTTTTCAATCTAATGCCATTATTCCAATGCGTGAGAGAAAACATGGAGCTTCAGTATTCACATATATTGAATTCAACTATGGGTTAAACCAATCAGCAAATACTGTGTGATAATTGCACATAACCATGTGTAAACATGTAAGTAAACTCTGGAACCTTGTTTTGCTTTCCAAAAGCTGCAGTCCTGAAAAAGGTCCAACATTGAGGACCATTAGCTCAAGAACCCAAAAGTTTCATTGAGAGAATAAACTCCTTTAACAAGGGCTCCTTGTGAACTCCCCACCTATTGGAAGGGGGTCCTCAAAGGCTGCGAGGAGAACCCATATGGAATTCAGTTTCAGCCTCTACAAACAAGGATGATGGAAGCATGAACAAAAACATTTTAGGCTGGACCTAAAGGACTAAATATAAAGCATAGTCTAGATTACAGTAAACAACTTAATATTTCATGGATTACCTTCACTTGTCAAGCACTGAGAGGTATGCCTGATGAACCAAGCAAGCAGTTCGCACATTTTCCTATCAGTACATGGAGGAATTATTGCTATCAGAAAAAGCCAAAAAGTAAACACACACACACGCAAAGAAGATTAGAAGTTGTATAATTAAGTAATGAAACAAAAAGGGTACTTGCACCACCTGGTCTTCCAGATCCAGATACCTACTCTTAATTACTAAAATTTATACAGAAATCTTCAACTCTTGAATAACACCAAAATCTTACAGATTCAAGATATGATTTTTTTTTTCCCAAAATGAAGCAAATTGTAACATTTAAGTCAATATAACAAATAAAAAAAAGAACATATTCTTAACACAAAACAGAAATACAATAACATTAAACTAAATTCATTTGTAAAAGCGAGGGCAGCACTAAATCACCATGATGAGCGATAATAGTTATATCAAACTACCCACGAAGTTTTCCTTTCTCACTCAAGTACCACATCCCGTTAGAAGGCTCAAGTTTACTTATCCAGCAAGGTCTCACAATGTTAACCAAAGATGTCCGCAATAGGTATCAAGAAATTTTCAGACATGACAGGAAGAACAAAGGAGTTTGACTTACCTCATACAAAATTAACAGCAAACTATTATAAGATGTAGCATAAACCTTAATCCTTAATCGAACCGGTAATATTACAGGTAGGCCAGTGTTAGAAAAGATCAGTTACCTGAACCAATAATGAGTCGCAAGACGGTGCATCCCATTAGCAGCAATATATCTTGGAGGGGAAGAAGGAAATGGAACAAATCACCCACCCACTTCAAGCTCTCCGATCATGCCTTCCTACTGCCGCACCAGACCTCTCTCCAATTCACCAAACCAAGAATCAGTTACAGTAAAGAACTGAGCAGCATGATCAAATATCAAAGGCTGAGGATCAATAATTCTTGTTCCCATTCTTCCTCCCAAACCATGTATCCCCTAATATATCAAAGCATGGTATGAATCAGAAACCCCAAACAATTGCAACATTTATATGAAATTGAACCAAGTTCAAATAACTCAAATCTCAACTTGGCTCCACTCACATTTGAATCCTAAACCAGAGACAGAACTCCAGAACCTCTTTAACAATGATATAATTACACCCATTCTTAATCATATAAAAAATGCAGTAAAAAAAGTGTCATTCTGCAATACCAGTAGATATTACCAAACATCAAATATTTAACATTGTACAACTCTTCACATCGTATATTACAATTAACCTCGTTACAAGTCAATATTCCATGTTAAATTGACGTTGATACAGAGATTTTACTTCAACATTACAAGTTTCACATTAATAATTACACGTAATACGTATTCCATTTCAAGTTTCGATCTGTTTTGCCTGTATTAATCGGCTGATTCCCCATTGAAAATATATAATGAAATACTCGGCAATTAGCAGCGTTAAACTACAATCATCCAAAAGAGTTAAGCTACACTCTTAAATACAAACACCCCACGTAAATACACACATTTCCCAACTCAAAAAAACACAAATTTAACGAAATGACTAACTAACCGTATCAAAAACCGTGGACTTGACACCCTTCTTGTCCAAACTGAACGCACAAACTAGACCTGCCATGCCTCGCCGAGAATCCCCACGCGGGGGTCGTCAGAGAAAGGTGCAGTGAACGTGAATTGCTCATCAGATAAGGTTTCCTTGAGCATGGACCTTTTCGCTGCGCCATACGAGGACTTTTTGCATGTCCTTGACGAGGGCTTTTTTTGTTTGAGAACTTGAAGCTTTGGTAGACACGGCAAAAATAACAGCAAGTGATTGGACCGAAGAGAATTTTGTACTCTCCCTTTGAGACAGAATCACAGAAAATATAAGATGGCATTATTTATATAATATTTTTAAATAAAATTGAAAATCAATATAGGTTTATTATTACCTTTTGTGCCATTCTAGATTGTACTGTCCATGTGGTGCTGCCATGCTGGTGTTCAACTTCAAGCAAATCATAAATGCATATTCAAGTAACTTGTCTTAAACACACATTAAATATTGTTTACATTTATTAAACCAATAAAACATATACATTAGTTGAATAACCGATCAAATGAACGAGCAGCAGCAGTTACAGTGATTGCCTCTTAACTAATCTGAGTCTACAATGCCAATAACATTATCATAACAATCCCAGATGACCACATATTTTGTCTTTCCTGTTTCTGTAATCTTGGAAGTAACCTGTTTTTGAAAACAAAAACAGTATCATCAGCAAACAACTACAAAACAATATTCACATGAATTAATAAAAGTTGTACATTTACTATCGAATGTCTATCATTTCATTTGCAATGGGAATGCGATAATCTTAACTTTGTAAATGTAAGGTTCTTTCAAGATATTGCATGAAATAGAAAACTATGAAGAAAATAGTAGAGACTAGAGAAGAGTTAGAAAAATACGGGTAAGATCACAAGGACCCGGGAAGAAAAATACGGGTAAGATCACAAGGACCCGGGAAGAAAAATACGGGTAAGATCACAAGGACCCGGGAAGCTGAGGGTACATGCAACAACACAGGCTAAGCTGCATTCCATCGAGCTTAAGCAACCAATGACATTTTCACATTCACTTTGACAACCGCCATCAGCTCCTTCTGTCCAACATGCGCCAACTATAACTATCACAACCCAACACATCAACACCCTCTTTCTTTTCATGCGTCTCATCTCTTGTTCCAGCATCTCTTTCTTCTTTCTTATGCGTTGTATTTATAATAAGTTCAATATCTTTATTCGAATGCAGTAATTTTTTTTTTTTTTTTTTTTTTTTTTTTTTTTTTTTTTTTTTTTTTGTGAAACAACGTATTAGTATGGTATGTTACAAAAGGATTGTAATTAATGAAGCCTGAGGCTGTAATCATTTTCCAGCTTTGTTTTTGCAAATGGAGGAGACTTCAAAATTCAAGAAGCATCGTCGCCATTACAACTGAAATTTATAACTTCAGAGAACTTTTTTACAACTTTCAGTTTCAACATGTTCACACGGTTTGGTATGAGCTCATCGTGGATGAAGCTCCACCTACTAAACCTGATTAGATGATAAGTGTGATGTGGTTCACTAACTAGTAAGTTCCATTAATCAAAGCTGCAAAATTTACATTGTCTCATCCCATGCTGCTGCAGAAGCGGTGATATCTGTTAAGCTTGGTATACCGGAATCTGCTATTTGGCTTCGTGTTCAACCTTACAGGGGAACTATCATGTTTCGTGTCACCTGCAACTGAGAACGACAGCTTTCTATAAAGATTAATTCCCCCAAAAATCCCCTTTAAACGTACATTTGTCATCTGGTTTCATAAATGGACGATGTAGCAGAATGAACTCGACTATCTAGCTTACCAACTTTTCCAATAACTACCTTCGTGCAGTAGTTCTGCCACCTAATCATCCTAGAAAGACAAACAAGATGATGAACATGACAATCAAGTATCGACCAAGCATATGAAGGAAAGGACATTGCATCAACACAATATACACAATATACCTAAAATCTTCATAGCCTGATTACGGATTCAAGGGGTAAGTTGATATGATTGAAACTCCTCCTTCTCCGTGGACTCCAAACCTGGAAATTGCCCGATATCATGTCCTTCAAGGGGTCGAAACTCATTGTGCAAACCAACAGCAAACTCCTCAGGATGAACTCCACCACTTTGTAAGTAATCTACTATCTGAATTGCAAACCCCAATAAATTATTTATACACAAGTAATCAAGCTTTATAAATGATTAATCAAGATTTCATGTTTATGTGTATATATATAACCTCAGTCTTATAAAGGAGTTAAGTTACAGATTAATGTAATTTGACATTATAGGTAAATTGAGAGATACATACGTTTCTATGCACAAATAGACCAATTAAGTGAAAAAGAATAGCATATCCTCACATGATTGGCAAGAGCCATGCCACTTAAGGCTGCACACTCTAAACTTGAACCCAGCAACCAATCGCCACAGATACCGGCCCTTCCATGAGGGTCAAAGATGCATGGGATACTCGGAGTGTTAGTGGGAAGGGCTGCACCCCTACACATCCCAAAAAAGAAAATCAACCAAAATGAATGCAGAGTAACCCAACGTTTTCATAAATTTCCTTGGTACTCAAAACCCATTAACAAGTAGAAAACATAAACTATTCAAAGAAAAAGCAGCAGTAAGAGGAAAAAGTGTGTGTTTACTCCTAAAACACGGCACGACTGGTGAAGTGCAAGTTTGATGAAAAAGCCACAAGTTATGATGAAATGCAGGAGGCAATAAAGATCATTTTCAAGTGTTTACATTTTGTGTGTCTACACCATCCTAGGATTAATCTACGTCTAACAAGAAAGAACCTTGTTTTTATCCACTGTTGTGATAATCAATAAAGCGCCTAGCCAACAGATCTCAAACTATTTAAGGGAGGATCATAATAAAAATTCCAGTAAATTCTAGACAACAGGTAAAGCTCCTTAACTTTTCAAATTTTGCATGGTGAATACTAGAACCACATTTTTTGTTTCCTTCTTTTATGTTTTATTTTACGACTCTTGCAAAATATAATATTCCTTCTAGTTTTGAAAGAACTCCTAAACTTTGAGGAAGTACTGCGCTTTACACTCGAGTCCTAAGAGACCTTTGTGCTCAAATGTGTCTTAAGCCTTTCGAAAATTGCTAAAGGATTGAAAATTGAACATAGTAATGCACTCACAAAGGTATGTTAAGGAGAAGCAGTGTCTTACCATAATTGGACTCGAGTGTAAAGGGGTTTCTGAAGTGAAGACTTTGGTAGTCCAAGTGCAGTTTCAACACCGTGAAGCATACCTGTTTTCACCTTCTCTGCAGTGGCAGTTGGGATGTTTTCCTGATAACATGATTGGAATAATATCAATGTCTTGCAGAAAAACCTTATTGCAATGCATAACTACAACCACCTTTACTACACCAAAGAATGCCCTTAAACTGATCATATTTCTTCACTCATAAAATGGAACATTCAGTGCTAATCTTTTAACAAAATTTACTTAAATATGCATATAAAACTGAACACTTTTCCTTATTTCAATAGTTTAGAGTCATCAAAGAAAAATCCTGCCCTGGCTTTCTACTCAATCTAATGCCATTATTCCAATGCCTGGGAGAAAAAATGGAGCTTCGAGATTCACATATACGAATTCAACTCTCCATAAAATCAATTGGTCAAAACTATGCGATACCCTGCATATAACCATGTGTAAACATGTAACTAACCTGTGGAACCTTGTTTTGCTTTCCATAAGCTGCAGTGCTGAAAAAGGTCCAACATTGAGGACCATTACTTTGAGAACCCAAAAGTTTCATTGAGTTATTTGCCATCCATGAGAGAGAATCAACTCCTTTAACAAAGGCTCCTTCAAATGTGAATTCCCCACCTATGGGAAGGGGGTCCTCAAATGCTGCAAGGAGAGCCCATATGGAACTCAGTTCCAGCCTCTACAGACAAAAAAAATGTGAATTATCCAAAACAATTTGGCAAGGCAGATAGTGACTAAAGATAGAGCAGAGTCTAGATTGCATTCAACAAATTTAATATTTTAAAGTCTACCTTCATTTGTCTAGCAATGAGAGGTAAGCCTGAAGAACCAAGTAAGCGATTTGCACATTTTCCTATAAATTAAATAGAGGAATCATTACTATAAGGAAAACCAAAAAATGTTTCTAAAAAAATGCGGATTAGCAGCTATATAATTAATTAATGAACAAAAAGGCGACTTCTATCACCTTGTCTTCCTGATCCAGAAACTTACTCTAAATTACTACATTATACAAAATATAAAATCTTCAATAAAACCAAAACATTACAATGGACACAAATTTCAATGAATTCAGCAGGAAATTACTGATATGAACGTATTGAGATCTCTAAAAGTAATTCATACTGGTATCAATTCTGAGAATTTTTCATTTTGAATGAGCACATTCTGCATACTTCAAGCACAAGCATTAAAGGATTATGGGCGGGTTTTCTGTACCAAACGGCCAGTTTGCCATTCCTAACTCCCTTGTAATGATTGGAAGCAGAATCAGATATGATTCATTTTTCCAAAAAGGAGGCCATTATAACATTAATTTCGATGTCATAAACAACATTTTCTTAACACAAAACAGGAATAGTATAACATTAAACTAAGTTCATTGGAAAAAGCAAGGATGGCAGCACTAAATCACCATTATGAGCAATAATAATTATATCAAACTGCCCACGCGGTTTTCCATTCTCACTCAAGTGCCACATCCCGTTAAATGGCTCAAGTTTACTTATCCAGCAAGGTCTCACAACATTAACCAGAGATGTCTGCACCAAGCATCAAAATAAACTCAGTCATGACAAGCAGAAAAAAGGAATTTGATTTACCTATTTCAATATTAATGGCATACCAATATAATACGTTGCCTTATATATAGCTTAACCAAATTGGTAATATTACCGATTAGGCAGTGCATAAAAGAGTATGATACTTTTTTAAGGAATTATAGTCATAATACGACTTGACATATACCAGCGGAGAGAGATTAGTTACCTGGGTCAATAAAGAGTCAGCAAGAGGACGCATCCCATTAATGCCAACATATCTTGGAGGGGAAGAAGGAAATGGAACAAACCGGCCACCCACTTCAAGCTCCCCAATCATACCTTCCCACCGCCGCACCAGACCTCTCTCCAACCAACCATCAACCAACTGACCAAACCGAGAATCACTCACAGTAAAGAACTGAGCAGCATGATCAAATATCAGTGGTTGAGGATCAATTATTCTTGTTCCCATTCTTCCTCCCAAACCATGAATCCCCTAATACACAAAGCATAGTAGAATCAGAAACCCCAATAATTGTAATTTTGATATGGTCGCATAAATCACAGCTCTACACATGAACATCACATGTGAGTGAACCAAGTTCAAATAACTCAAAGCTCAACTTGGCTCCACTCATTTGAGTCCTAACCTAGAGACAGGATTCCAGAACTTCATAGACAATGGTGAGATTGATGCACACACTTAATCAAATCACAGGTGCATTCACAAAGTGTCATTCCACATTACCAAACATCACATTTATAATTTTTTTCAGGTTTCACATTAGTCATTACAAGCAATATGTATCTTAATGCTAGTGTCTCAATTGTAGAATTTCTCATTCAATGAGTTAAGCTGCAATACTAATTACTAAATATAAAAACCCACTTAAATACCACATTTCACACCTCAAAAAACAAATATTTAAGAAAAAGACAAAACAAAACAAAACAACTAGCTAACCGTATCAAAAACAGTGGACTTGACACCTTTCTGGTCCAAACTCAAAGCACAAGCGAGACCCGCCATGCCTCCACCGATAATCCCAACGTGGGGGTCACCAGAGACCGGAGCAGAGAACGTGACTTGCTCTTGAGAGCACAAATAGTACCAATTAAGTGAAAAAGAATAGCATATCCTCACATGATTGGCAAGAGCCATGCCACTTAAGGCTGCACACTCTAAACTTGAACCCAGCAACCAATCGCCACAGATACCAGCCCTTCCATGAGGGTCAAAGATGCATGGGATACTCGGAGTGTTAGTGGGAAGGGCTGCACCCCTACACATCCCAAAAAAGAAAATCAACCAAAATGAATGCAGAGTAACCCAACGTTTTCATAAATTTCCTTGGTACTCAAAACCCATTAACAAGTAGAAAACATAAACTATTCAAAGAAAAAGCAGCAGTAAAAGGAAAAAGTGTGTGCTTACTCCTAAAACACAGCACGACTGGTGAAGTGCAAGTTTGATGAAAAAGCCGCAAGTTATGATGAAATGCAGGAGGCAATAAAGATCATTTTCAAGTGTTTACATTTTGTGTGTCTACACGATCCTAGGATTAATCTACGTCTAACAAGAAAGAACCTTGTTTTTATCCACTGTTGTGATAATCAATAAAGCGCCTAGCCAACAGATCTCAAACTATTTAAGGGAGGATCATAATAAAAATTCCAGTAAATTCTAGACAACAGGTAAAGCTCCTTAACTTTTCAAATTTTGCATGGTGAATACTAGAACCACATTTTTTGTTTCCTTCTTTTATGTTTTATTTTACGACTCTTGCAAAATATAATATTCCTTCTAGTTTTGAAAGAACTCCTAAACTTTGAGGAAGTACTGCGCTTTACACTCGAGTCCTAAGAGACCTTTGTGCTCAAATGTGTCTTAAGCCTTTCGAAAATTGCTAAAGGATTGAAAATTGAACATAGTAATGCACTCACAAAGGTATGTTAAGGAGAAGCAGTGTCTTACCATAATTGGACTCGAGTGTAAAGGGGTTTCTGAAGTGAAGACTTTGGTAGTCCAAGTGCAGTTTCAACACCGTGAAGCATACCTGTTTTCACCTTCTCTGCAGTGGCAGTTGGGATGTTTTCCTGATAACATGATTGGAATAATATCAATGTCTTGCAGAAAAACCTTATTGCAATGCATAACTACAACCACCTTTACTACACCAAAGAATGCCCTTAAACTGATCATATTTCTTCACTCATAAAATGGAACATTCAGTGCTAATCTTTTAACAAAATTTACTTAAATATGCATATAAAACTGAACACTTTTCCTTATTTCAATAGTTTAGAGTCATCAAAGAAAAATCCTGCCCTGGCTTTCTACTCAATCTAATGCCATTATTCCAATGCCTGGGAGAAAAAATGGAGCTTCGAGATTCACATATACGAATTCAACTCTCCATAAAATCAATTGGTCAAAACTATGCGATACCCTGCATATAACCATGTGTAAACATGTAACTAACCTGTGGAACCTTGTTTTGCTTTCCATAAGCTGCAGTGCTGAAAAAGGTCCAACATTGAGGACCATTACTTTGAGAACCCAAAAGTTTCATTGAGTTATTTGCCATCCATGAGAGAGAATCAACTCCTTTAACAAAGGCTCCTTCAAATGTGAATTCCCCACCTATGGGAAGGGGGTCCTCAAATGCTGCAAGGAGAGCCCATATGGAACTCAGTTCCAGCCTCTACAGACAAAAAAAATGTGAATTATCCAAAACAATTTGGCAAGGCAGATAGTGACTAAAGATAGAGCAGAGTCTAGATTGCATTCAACAAATTTAATATTTTAAAGTCTACCTTCATTTGTCTAGCAATGAGAGGTAAGCCTGAAGAACCAAGTAAGCGATTTGCACATTTTCCTATAAATTAAATAGAGGAATCATTACTATAAGGAAAACCAAAAAATGTTTCTAAAAAAATGCGGATTAGCAGCTATATAATTAATTAATGAACAAAAAGGCGACTTCTATCACCTTGTCTTCCTGATCCAGAAACTTACTCTAAATTACTACATTATACAAAATATAAAATCTTCAATAAAACCAAAACATTACAATGGACACAAATTTCAATGAATTCAGCAGGAAATTACTGATATGAACGTATTGAGATCTCTAAAAGTAATTCATACTGGTATCAATTCTGAGAATTTTTCATTTTGAATGAGCACATTCTGCATACTTCAAGCACAAGCATTAAAGGATTATGGGCGGGTTTTCTGTACCAAACGGCCAGTTTGCCATTCCTAACTCCCTTGTAATGATTGGAAGCAGAATCAGATATGATTCATTTTTCCAAAAAGGAGGCCATTATAACATTAATTTCGATGTCATAAACAACATTTTCTTAACACAAAACAGGAATAGTATAACATTAAACTAAGTTCATTGGAAAAAGCAAGGATGGCAGCACTAAATCACCATTATGAGCAATAATAATTATATCAAACTGCCCACGCGGTTTTCCATTCTCACTCAAGTGCCACATCCCGTTAAATGGCTCAAGTTTACTTATCCAGCAAGGTCTCACAACATTAACCAGAGATGTCTGCACCAAGCATCAAAATAAACTCAGTCATGACAAGCAGAAAAAAGGAATTTGATTTACCTATTTCAATATTAATGGCATACCAATATAATACGTTGCCTTATATATAGCTTAACCAAATTGGTAATATTACCGATTAGGCAGTGCATAAAAGAGTATGATACTTTTTTAAGGAATTATAGTCATAATACGACTTGACATATACCAGCGGAGAGAGATTAGTTACCTGGGTCAATAAAGAGTCAGCAAGAGGACGCATCCCATTAATGCCAACATATCTTGGAGGGGAAGAAGGAAATGGAACAAACCGGCCACCCACTTCAAGCTCCCCAATCATACCTTCCCACCGCCGCACCAGACCTCTCTCCAACCAACCATCAACCAACTGACCAAACCGAGAATCACTCACAGTAAAGAACTGAGCAGCATGATCAAATATCAGTGGTTGAGGATCAATTATTCTTGTTCCCATTCTTCCTCCCAAACCATGAATCCCCTAATACACAAAGCATAGTAGAATCAGAAACCCCAATAATTGTAATTTTGATATGGTCGCATAAATCACAGCTCTACACATGAACATCACATGTGAGTGAACCAAGTTCAAATAACTCAAAGCTCAACTTGGCTCCACTCATTTGAGTCCTAACCTAGAGACAGGATTCCAGAACTTCATAGACAATGGTGAGATTGATGCACACACTTAATCAAATCACAGGTGCATTCACAAAGTGTCATTCCACATTACCAAACATCACATTTATAATTTTTTTCAGGTTTCACATTAGTCATTACAAGCAATATGTATCTTAATGCTAGTGTCTCAATTGTAGAATTTCTCATTCAATGAGTTAAGCTGCAATACTAATTACTAAATATAAAAACCCACTTAAATACCACATTTCACACCTCAAAAAACAAATATTTAAGAAAAAGACAAAACAAAACAAAACAACTAGCTAACCGTATCAAAAACAGTGGACTTGACACCTTTCTGGTCCAAACTCAAAGCACAAGCGAGACCCGCCATGCCTCCACCGATAATCCCAACGTGGGGGTCACCAGAGACCGGAGCAGAGAACGTGACTTGCTCTTGAGAAAAGGTTTTCTTGAGAATGGACCTTCTTGAGGTGCCATATGAGGACCTTTTGCGAGAGCTGGAAGTGGGTTTTTGAGCATTTTTGGTGGGTCTTTTTGGTTGAGAAGTTGACATAATGGTCAAAGTTAGGAAGTCTGAGTTGGAGAGTATGGAGGGTTTTGAGGGTTTAAGGGGTTGAAGGATGAAAGAAGAAGATGAAGATGAAATTAAGGTGGTCATGGTTTTGGACGCAACTTGGTAACTAGATTCTTGAGATGGTTGTATTGTTTTGTTAGAGATTTTTTATCGGCTGAATGATAGGCCCCTGTGATTTATTGCAATCTTTTCAAGACATAAAGTTTTAGAGAAGTTACAAAATCCTCCATAATTTATTATACTATCAAATTTATCCCAAACTTTTACTCTTGTGGTTTTGACTTTTAGGTAGCGTTTGGTTCGGAGAATTTTTTATTATTAAAAAAATAGGATTACCACTGAGATAGATCATCCCATTTCCCGCTAGATCTACAGTCATTTCGCCGTTTCTAGCCTTCTATCTGATCGAAAATGACTTGATTGGCACACGGCAGGTCAGATCTGATTGGTCATGTGCTGTGACTATCAGTTGTGGTGGCCGACGACTGGCAATCATCTTGGGTCTCATCTTGGGTAATTGGGGTATTTTGGGTATTATTTATGTAAATAGTGAGGGTATTTCTATCCAAAAATAATAATTTATGAGGTTACAGAAGTAATTTCACACATTTGAACTAGTTGTTATTTAGTAGAAATATGAGAGTATCTATGTCCAAAATGTTTATTAATTAAGGGTAAAATTGATATGAACAGTGGATTACCCCGATAATAAAAAAATAACATACTTTCAGACGATAATCGAATTAGCCCTTATATTATCTATAGTAATCATTATTAATATTGGTCAATTATTATAATATTTCATTACTTGACACCCAAACATGGTAATTATTAGATTATAAGATAGATTATCGATATTATCTTTTATGACTCTAAATCAAACGTACATCTAAAACTATAACAAATCAAAGGTATTTGTAATTTTTTATGATGAGAAGATATTATTTTTAAAATAATTCAGGATAATATGATACCTTCAAATTTGACGTGATATAAATGATATGTTTTTTAAATACTTTATCTTTTAACAAAAAAAAAAAAAAAAAAAAAAAAAAAAAATTTGTATTTATCAAGTGGATTTGATGAGGCGTTCATGTGATGGTTTTCTTAGATGAATTGGACGCTTGCTAGAGTTTGTTTATTGGCCTTATGGAGGCATNACTTAAAACTATAACAAATCAAAGGTATTTGTAATTTTTTATGATGAGAAGATATTATTTTTAAAATAATTCAGGATAATATGATACCTTCAAATTTGACGTGATATAAATGATATGTTTTTTAAATACTTTATCTTTTAACAAAAAAAAAAAAAAAAAATTTGTATTTATCAAGTGGATTTGATGAGGCGTTCATGTGATGGTTTTCTTAGATGAATTGGACGCTTGCTAGAGTTTGTTTATTGGCCTTATGGAGGCATCATTTGGTGCTCAATGTCAAATTTTTAAAACTGTGGAGAAGCATGATATTCTTAGAACTTCAGAGGTCTAAATTATTTTCCCTTCCCTGACATTCTTATCCACATTTTGGAAGTTAAACCAGATGATTATAATTTGTTTTAGCTCTATGTTTTTATGTTTGGGGAAACAACTGTTGGTTTGGATATAGAGAATTCACATTGTCTCAAACATATTCATCACTCTTGTCTTTACATATCATAAGGATTAATTACTAACTTCATAAACCATTATGGAATAATCTGACGGTAAAAAAACAAAAAGAGGTTTCATGAATTCGAGAATTTAAGTTTCCTCAAACACTAATAGAGGCAACCATTAGGACTCTTATCCGATCAATAATTCTAAAACTCCGAGATATTAGTTAAAGTGTACACAAACTTAGCTAAACACTCCCGGTGATTATAAAAAAAAGACAAAAATTCTAGTAACTCAATAATCCGATATAGAGCATATTCCATTATATGTATATTCTTTCAACTAGAACGTACTAATCATTCCTTGATTCCACTTAAATTTGGCTCCCACCTCAGCAATAAAAGAAATCCAGATGTGAAACCTGCCACAACTCAGATCACCATGTACCAAAAATGAAGAAAAACTATTATAATCCAAAGTAAAACCCTGAAAACATATTCAATCGAAAAGAAATTGAAATTAGAAAACTGGAACACCAAGTTCCATTTGCTAAGAAAAATATTAGATGAAACAACACTTTTGGTCCATGTTAAAATTGATAAATTTTTATATATAACATGATATGTACCAAGATAACTTACAAAAAATATACAATTCACATCAACACAAACAACTTAAAAGAAGTCATTGCAGATGAAAAGAAACAGGCTATTTCTTTTGGAACATCCATATGGTAGTGTTATGGAAATTGAAGACTATTTCTCCAACTTAAATAGTTAGTCAAAAACCAGCAGTTCAGGACTCAACACTGATATCTGCAATCGCTTGCTCTGTGATCTTCTGAGGAGAGGTTTGTGTTTTCTCTGACTGCTTCAGTTGGTTTTTCACCTTGCAAGCGCCATTAGTATTCTGTCCTCGCACCTTAGTTTTTGTAGTGGAAGCAGGGGATTCTTCTTTGAAGCAACCGAGGCTGCGGCGCTGTGCCCGAGCACAAATTCTTCCCTTGTCATCAGGGGAAGAGGTGTTAACTGCATCACTGCAGCTCTTTCTCCGGCTCAAACTGTTTAGTTTTGGAGATTTGGGTCTTGTCAATGGCAGCTGGCATCAAAGACAAATAAGAAAATTAATATTTTGTGTTCCATCAGAAGCTGCAGGTATAACATATGCCAGTTCTCATTCCAGTAATAACATGTCCAGTGAATATGTTTGCTAATATTTATTATTTATTACGATAACATCCCGCCCCGTTTCATTAATTAAGACCCTAAGGTTTATTTCATATTAATATTTTTCATTTTCTATGTTTTGATAAGAAACTGAGAAATTTGAGTCCTTGATTTAAGCTACTCTGGACTAAAACACATTGCTCTAGTTTGTAGGTAAATCCTAGACCATAAAAATAGGATTCAAATAAGTCCAAATATTTTCATTCTCTGGTTGATATTTATGTCTTTAATTAAAGGATTCACACCATCTCCATACACATTAATAAAGTTTATGGAATTCTAACCATTAAAAGAAATACCTTCTTAAGTTCAGCCTTTGGTGGGGGCGGCTCGTAGTAAAAACTAGGAACTGGATTTGCTTTGACAAACATGTTCTTCCTAAGTTGCTTGATGGCAGCTTCTTGGTCTTCCTGGAAATAGATACAAGAAATTTTTAAGGGTGGTTTCTTCAATAATAGCATCTTCACATATGTGACAAAAAAAAAAAAAAACCGTGTGAACAGATACATTATGTGAAAGACATTTATAAAAGTCCACCTTTTGTCTTGCTTCACACTGGCTTCTCTCTGCCTCTAATGCTTGTTGTTTTTGCTCTAATTTTGAGTAGAACTGGATGAGGGGAATTACGACAAACATAAATAGACTAATAAATGTAATACAAACACAGTAAAGAAACTATACATTTAATGTTTGATTCAGAGTATACCTCCTTCCGTTTCTCAGCACGTTCATAAGATCGAAATTTAGGAGCTGTTCCAATGGTTACCTTTCGGACAGATGTAGCAGTACTATTTATAGCTAAGGATAATCCAATACATAAACCAAACTAATGTACAAAAATATAGTTAAAAAAAAGACTACAACATAAAGCACAAAACATAAACCATAGGATACGAGGAAGCAACAGACCAAGTATCTTCTTCATCTGGGAGCTTCTTATTATCAAGTTGAGATAGCTTCTTTGATGTCAGGGGCGAGCTCGGCTGGAAAAAAGGGAAAGAGTTTAAAGACTAGCAACATCTTAAAACTTAACATTTACAATTGAAACATTGATAATCCCAAACAAGTTCAATAACACTTCATAATTTCCATCGGCATTTCCCTTCACACCAAAGAAATTGATAATTCTCATAAACATTCCTTTCAACTGGAAAGAAGTCAGATGAGAAGACCAAAAACATGTAGTTTACAAATTTTCCTAAGGTGCACCAGGAAAGCCATAACAGTTGCAAGAAAACAAAGGTTATGATCTAGTTAAATTCTGATTAAAACAAAAAAGATTTGAAACATTTCCTAAACCTAAATCAAGAAGCCATAATATGGGCAAAGATCCTAAGCATGATCCCCTGAATAATTAAGTTTACATCAATTGGGTAGAAAATCAACTGGCACAATCATCTAAGTAGCTGACGGATCAAAGCAAGTAAATCAATTAATCTAAAGCCTCAGAAGCAGTCACAAACGAAATAAAGAAAAAAGGTTGTCCACTTCTAATTGGAAAAAAAGAACTATAAGATAGTAAACATGCAGGAACGAAAGCCATAAAATATCAATACTCTAGAAAAAAAGAAATTTAAGTTAACTGCAAAACAGAATTAATTACAACAGAAAAGTGGAAAGTACAATAAAACTTTTAAGAAATTGTTTTAAATTTTTCCTTTGACAAGTCTTCTAATGCACATACATGGTGAGATAACCTCTACCTTAACACACAGTACATTTATTTTTTGGGCATCTTTCTCAGTCCGAAACTCTTTACTAAAAGTTGATTATACCTAACGTTAACCCAATCTAAGTAGAGATTGACCACAGTTGCCTTTTCATTGTGTTCATTGATTTCCTCACTTGAAGAATAAATAACAGGGCATGACATATACCAATATACACCAATGAGGGTTTCCATTACCTGTGAAGTTTTCTTAGGAACAGGGGTTTGGACATTGTTAACATCAGCTGCAGTTTCAAACCCAACATGCCGAGTTGCGCCCGATGCACGCTTTTCAGTTGCCAGAGCAAAAGGCTGCGAGACAATTTTACTTGTATGCACATTAGCAGGACCACGAGGTTTAGATGTAGGACAGCTTGACTTCTGAGATCCAGGACTCTCATGTTGATCCTTAGCCTCATCAGTATCAAAGTTTTTGCTTTTGACAACTACCACATCTTGTTTGTCATGACAATTATCAACAGAGTTTTCTTCAGTGCATTCTTTCACATCATAGTCCTTTGCTTCAATGTGGTCCTCTGAAATTTTGGGGGCAACATGGACATTATCGTGAGATGCACCATTTGACTTCAGAACGCCGTTTGGCTTCTTATCCATGTGTACATCCATGAGTTCCCTCCCCATCACCCTGTATGAAAATTGAAACAATGAAGTCCATTATGCTTCGTAAAATTGACATTTGCAGCTCATTAAAAGCAAATAAACACCCCCTCGGTGCTGATAAAGAGCCTACAACAAAATTTATCCATAAAAAGATTGTTTGCAGCATACTTATATTATTTGTATGTTCTTTCATACAGAACAACAAATGCTAAACATGTCAATTAACCACCACAGCCAAAACAACCATGAAAGTCTATTTTAACCATGTCCCAGTCCCTGATACACATCTCCATGTGAACTCATTGAAGAAGGCGATCCCCAATCTGACTAAATCTTAGAAAATATATCAGAAACAGAAAGATACAAAAAGGCACAACCTAGATAAGCAAATAATTTAATGCAGTATAAGTAAGAAGTTTTCATGGTTGCTTTGAGATTCATGAGTTCAGAGAAATATTCAAAACTTTGAATTGCTCACATAAGTTCAAGAACAAGTTGAAAGGTTGTCAAATTATTGATTTCAATATTTCGAGGAAACGATTTATTTGAAAATATACAACATGAAAGACTTCAAGATAGTGAGAGCATGTAACTATTTGTCTTTCTCACCTATTATTTCCCTTACATCTCTAAATTTTCGAATTTTATTAAAGTTCTATGCACACAATTCCATCAGTAACTAAAATTCCCATATCCACACTCCAAATCATACAACAAAAGCTCACATAATAAAATAAAATAAAGAAAAAAGGGCTGATTAATACTGCTTTCATAACAAATAGAAAATAAATTGTTCTAATTTCCATAATAAAAAATACAGATATACTTTTAATAACAGCCCCAAAAATATTGCAAAAGCATAAAAAGTATAACCAAAACCAAGGCTACAGAGAACTCCATGTTCTACACAACGCGTATTGCAATATAGATCTGGAGAAATTATGCACTGAAATTTTCATCTTAGGATTTAAACTTTCCATTTTTTGAAAAAATAAATTCATAATCTAAGGTTACTTCAATTTCAATCAAGTTTCATAAATTCATGTCTCCTTAAGGTGAAAGCCTTCAAACAACAACAACCACATGTGCAAAAAGTGAAGTAAATCACATATCTCAACTTATTTTGCTATACTCTTTTATCCCTATACTTTTCACTGTGCTTTTTGGCACTTAAAAAAAAAAAAATCTATAAGGGTATTAAGTATTCCCACAAAATTTTAAAGCAAATTTCGGAAAAAAATGAGCTTGAGAAGAGATATCAAAAAGGAAATATATAGATCAAACAAGGTAATAGTAAGGAAAAAAAACAGTTTTTTTTTTTTTTTCACATATAAACTTTCTATTTATATGGTTACATTAAATAACATAGCATGAGGGAAAGACTGAAACAAAACATATCCATTTATTAAATTCAAAAAAAGAAAGATTTATAATACTTGAAAAAAAAAAAAAATAATAACAAGATGAATCATCTCAAGCTGAAACAAAAATTTAAAGAAGAAGACCAGAAAATGCATGCAACATGTACAACAAAAACAAAAACAAATCTTGAAACCCAAGTGGAGAAATGATAAAGAACAAAAAAACAAGGAACCCCATAAGAGAAAAGGGTTGAAAAGAGAGAAGAAGAAGAAGAAGAAGATCAAACAGAGAGCGTTTTTTTTTTAGATCAAATAAAAGACTTGTTCAAACAAAAATGTAACTGAAAAAGTGATGAATAAGAAGGAGGAAGAGGAAGAGGAAGTAGAGGAAGAATGTGAGAGAATTCTTACAGTTGGTTGTGGTCGATCTGACAAGATCTTGAACCTCAACACAAATCTCTGTTTCTCTCTCTTTTATCTATCTCTCTGTGTTTGAGTTGTGTTGTGTTTTTGTTTTCTGTTGTGAGTGTTGTCTAAAAACGAAATATTTGTATGATTTTCCTTCTCTTTAGCTAATATAAACTTCACCCTTTTCTAAATCCAAGCTTTTTTTTTTTTAATTAATTAATTTATTTTCATTTTTTAATGTTGCGTTGTTACTTACTTATAGGACAGTTTTTTCAGTTTTAACGGTGACCTTTTTTCCCTATTTTTCTCTTTTTAACGTAATTTTTAATTCTACATTCTAATATATTATATTTAAACCGTTGGATGAAGATGACTGATTTATTCCATGGTGTTAATTTCCTTAAAATTATATTTTATAAGCATCATAGAATTATTCAATTTGTAAGTATCTATTTTTATTTACTGGAATTTTATTTACACTTTATCCAATTTCTGGTTACACTCATTCTCTTTAATAAATATTTTTAATTATCAGAAAAATTATAATAAAACAATTAAATCAAAAAGGAAAATGTCATAATCAATTTTGTTGACTTTATTATATTTGTGTAAAAAGATAAGATCGCCGTGTACGTTTTAACTTCTAATTTATATAATTATAGTATTGTTTTCAAGTATTTAATAAAAAATTTATTATATAATTTATGAATATTTTCAAATAAAGTGATGAATCATAATATTTTTAAATATTTTAAAAATAAGTTTAATATACACAACGTTTCTTTTTAATATGTTTAAAATATTAAATCTTGAATTTTATTTTAAATCATGAGCTTTAATTTTATCTTTATATAGTTAGTGGAAGTTGTGATGGCGTTAGATGACGGTGGCGGTCAAACTTGAAAATGCGTTAAAAGTCTAAAAGAAGGGGCCGACGTGACGGTGGTGGATGTCGTTTCTGAGCCGAAATCTTCAAGTCCCCGGTTCGAATCTTGTCGGTGGATTTATCTTCTTCTTTTTCATTTTTTTTTTGTTCAGACGCGAGTGACCTCATCCCTTTAGAGGACGACTTGTCGGAGATTCTTCCTAAAGATATTCTTCTTTTGTCAAATCACTTGTTTTCACTTACTAATTACCATATATATAAGTCTTTTTTACATCAAATTTAACAAGATTAGTGACAGAAGGTTCTTTTTCTTTTTTCACAAATTTTGACAAAACCCATGAAATTTTTTAAATTTTAGTAAAAACCTTAAAGTACCTACCTAATGATAATTTATATTTATTCAGTTTTTGTCCTTTTTTTAAATTTAATAAAGACTCAAAAGAGAATCAAGGGTAATGTTCTTTTTTGTTTTTTTTAATCTGTGTGTTTGTGTCAATTTTCTTTTACCTCAACTAATCCTCTTGGGCCTTGAAGTTAAGGGTCGGATAATCCTTCAATGGTCATCTCTATTAACAATAAAAAAGAATCGAACTCAATACCTCTTGAGTAATATACCCAAAAGCCTCTATTCGATCACTCGATCACTCAGGGGTTGGTTATCAAGTGTAATGTTTGAATTAGGGAACCATGATTAAGGGGAAATGATAACGATGAAAGAGTAGTTAGTTTAAAATTGGGTAGTGAACATGTAGGGCACATAGTAGTTTAGTTTAATATATGGTAGTAATTGTGGAAATAATATTAAGAGGTGGTGGTACCCATGACTTCGCATATATTCATGCACAACTTGGTTTGGTTATAAATTTTGAAATCAATTTGAGAAAAGTGGTAGATTTTTGAATTCAAATGTCAAAGTGTTGTTGTGTGAGGGAAATATTTTTGAATGGGTGGTGATATTAAATGTGAGAAGGTGTGTGCTTTCATTTTAGAAACCTCTTCTCATTCAATGCCTCCATAAATTACACTGATCAATTTTGTGTGTTGGGTTATAACTCCAATCAATTAATGTGGGATTCAGGGTGAATTTCAGTACAAACATTAATCAATCACTTATAATTATGCCCATAAAACGTTTAAATAATAACAAACATCTTAAATTTGAGAATGTTTCATGTGCATCTTATTTTTATTTTTATTTTTATTTTGACGACCTAGAGTGTTTGGGTTAAGTTTTTAATTAATTTCTCGAAACTTTAAAATCACCGATCGGGTAAGAGCTTCATAACTACCCCTATTAGTAAACGAGGAAAGATTCGAACTTAAGACATATTAAAAAATACATTCAATAGTCTTTATTCAACCACTCGACCATCCTAAAATAATATGTGTGTATGTATCTTATTGCAATAGAATCCGTTAACAAAAATATATTATGTTGGTATGAACAGAACTCACTTGTCTACGTATCTTAAATATGAGTATTTATTTTTTATTTTATATAATTTTTGTAATGTATAATTAATTAATTGAATCAGACCTTGAGTTACGTTAAAAAAAGTAAAGTGTAAAACGTGAATGGAATGAGATGAAATTAAAAGGGTGGAAGCATTAAATAAAAAAGTCGTTATAGTCTGAGACCTTTAACCTTTATGAGAAACAATTTATTTCATTTACATTCAATTCAAAGCAATTAAATTCTTCTTTAATTTTTACTCTGGTCACAATCAGACTGATACTTGTCACCATTATTCACTGCCTTCAATTTCTCCAGGCCATTCATAAACTCAGTCTCCTTTTAACTGTAAAAATGTTAAGATTATAAGCAGAAAAAAACATGCTATATCTGATCAAATTTTCAGGCCTAATTGCATGCTATATAAAAAAGGAAGAAAGAAAAGCCTCCATTCACTCCCTCAAAGTAATACAGTCAAAGCTTATGTATGCCAAAGCTGACCCATGTTAATTCTCTGTCTCTGGTATCTGTAAAACCAGACATAAAATTGAGAGATGAAAGAGGGGTCAATGGAGGTTTTCTAACAGAGATTTTAGGTTCCTTTGAGTAAACAACTAACTTGTGCAGGTTTGGCAAATTTGGAGGGAGTAAATGACTTTTTCCTGCTCAAATAATGACTTAATAACACTTTCCGACCCACAAACTTTTAAATTACCACTTTACTACTCAGATTTATATTCTGTTTTCTATTTTGACATTGTTGCAATCTCATACCATCACCATTCTTTTTCCTGATCATCACTTACCAAAACCTCGTAAACCCTACACTCGTCAATTGCTGGAAATCGAGTGATTAGGGTTTGTATAGCCGCATTTTCTAAGTCAAATTCCAATCAATCCCAACCACCAAAAGACTTATCGGTCTTCTCTCTTCAAAAGCTCCAATAACCTGAATTGGGTTTGCTCTCTATTTGTCACAAGAATATAAATTTAAGTAGTAAAATTGTATTTTAAAAATCAGTGGGTGGAAAAATGTCATTTAAGTCATTATTTGGATGGGAAAAAGTAATCGAGAATTAACTTATGAAAATTGAAGAACATAAAATGGGTAATGTGAAATGTCTGTGAACATAATTACAGTTTTCTTGTACAAAACTTTTGGAGGAAGATTCACGAGAACCTTTAACCTTACTTAATGAGAATGTTTTATGTTTACAAAAGAAAAGAAAATTTGCAATTAATATCTAACTACATCATGTGATTATTTTTAACACCCATGTTTGGTGTATTTTAAAATAAAATTGGTTCTTTAATTTATTTATTATAAAGTAAAATAATTCTGTGTGGTTCACACGTAGAAGAGAAGACCAAGGTCAGCTTTGGGGATGTCGTTAAGAAGATTCTTTTGATTAGAATAAAAATATAAAAAAACAATGGGGGGGGAGTTGGTTGGAATTAAGAGGTCCCCAATCCATTGATTCAAAATAAAAATAATAAATGCAACTTTTGTTTTGTTCAGTCTTTTTGATTTTGAACAATCCCATATTCCAATGCATATATATGCTTCAAAAAGGTCAAAAACATTCAACTATTGCTTTAGAGAAATTTGCCTCCCACTTTCTTTTGAATTTTTGGATCTTTAATTTAGGAAATATTTGTATGTAAATTTGATTTATGGGGATGGGGGGACCAAAACGTGACCTGAATGAAATCTCTGACCTTAGAAATGGAAATTAAACGAAGGAGCAATTGGCGGCAAAGATTTTAGATTAAAGTAAAGTGAAAAAATGGTGGTGGTTGTAGGGAGGGAGACAAACAGAAAGTAAGGGGCCATGCCCATGCATGCACATCTTCTTTTTTAAAACCTCAAAGTGGGTTTCATGTTGTTTCTCATATACATATATATATATATTTGAATCAGGGTGTTCGGATCAGTTTGTGTATATTTTAGTCAATCTCTGTGGTTCATTAAATATTCTACAAGTTAAAAGGAACCTTAACTAATCTCTGGGGTTCATTAAACATTATACAAGTCCAAAGGAACCTCAACTAATCTTTTGGGTCTATTAAACACTTTACAAATCTAAAGAAACATCAACTAATCCCTGGGGTTAATTAAACACCTTATAAACTCAAAGGACCAAGTAAGCACAATATTATTATGATAGATGACTCCAAGATTTAAACTCTAAAACTTAAAGAATGGAGTAAACCTCACTGACCATACTAATCTCCTGGACCTGGAGTTTCATATTAGATCCCATATATCTAATATGAAATCATCTTTTAGGGGTTGATTTTGGGTAGAGGGAGGCAGTAAACCTGCAGAACCTATATATATGTGGGATCTAATATGAAATCAACTTTTAGGGGTTGATTTTGGGTAGAGGGAGGCAGTAAACCTGCAGAACCTATATATATGTGGGATCTAATATGAAATCAACTTTTAGGGGTTGATTTTGGGTAGAGGGAGGCAGTAAACCTGCAGAACCTAATCTATCTGTAAACAATTAAGTATTAAACTTTAATTAATTAATTGTAATCCTTTTCAGAATAGGTGGTGATAGATATGGATCAAACCTTAGCTTTAACGATTATTATAATTTATCTTTTCATCTTCAAAACTGAATTGGACTTTTTTAGGTTTAAAGCCAACAACTTTATTGAAATCAGGCAAAAACTTTCCACTTTGCTACCAAAATAAATATAAATCAATTGACTTTTGGAAATTTGTATTTTAGTGCTTGTATTCAAACTCTTGGCATTTCCACTAATCAAGGTTAATTTATTTATTTATT